TGGCGTTACGGCACGATTGTGGATCGCCAAAATCGCAGCAGTCAGGTTGATACGTGGCGTTGCAATCCCGAGAGCAATGTTTTGGCATGCTTCAGGATCTTCAAGCGGATATCTCCCATGGAGGCAGTTCCCTCAATGGAAATGAACCGTTGCAGGGGCTTGTAAAGGGGGAGCTTGGAGGGAGGGTTACTCCCAACATCGTTGATGACTCTTGGGATTGCACTGGTCCTCCTCCTCCTCCGCCTCCGCCTCCGCCTCCGCCTCCTCCTCCTCCGCCTCCTCCTCCTCCGCCTCCTCCTCCGCCTCCGCCTCCTCCTCCTCCGCCTCCGCCTCCGCCTCCTCCTCCCCCTCCTCCTCCGCCTCCCTCCTCCCTCCTCCGCCTCCTCCTTCTCCGCCTCCTCCGCCTCCCTCCTCCCTCCTCCGCCTCCTCCTTCTCCGCCTCCTCCGCCTCCCTCCTCCCTCCTCCGCCTCCTGCTCCTCTCGTCTCCAGACCCCGCGCGCCAGCCGCACGCCGGGGGCGCCCGCCCCGCCCGGCCCGGAGCGCCCTGCCGCGCGGCCCCGCCGCGGCCCCCCCTCTGGCCCCCGGGGCCCCGTTGACCTGCGCTTGCCCCCCGTCGGCTCGGCGACAGCTGCCGCCGCATGCCGCCGCCGCCGCCGCCGCATGCCGCCGTCGCCGCCGCCGACGACGACGAAGACGGCGGCGACGGCGGCGGGCGACGGCGGCGGCGGCGGGCGACGGCGACGGCGACGGCGGCGGGCGACGGCGGCGGCGGCGGCGATGTCGGCGGAGGCGGTGTCGGCAACCGGCGGGGCCGCGGGGCCAGGCGGCAACACGCTGCTCTACGCCAAGAGCGAGTGGGACCTGTCCGCGAGGAAGTTCGGGCGCGCCCCGAGCGCGAGGCGGCTGCTGCGGGTACACCAGGCCCGGGGTCCCCCGCTCGCCGCTGCTGTCAGCGGCACCACAGTGGGTACTGAAGAGATCGGCCGATCGCTGCCGGTTTGGTCAGTATCGTTTGACCGATCCCCGTCCCCATCCCCATCCCCTGCGAGACCCCTACCACATTACCTGTTTTTATCTAGGGGCGTAAATCGGCCAGTGGGGCCCAGGCCGCCGCGCCGCTGGGGATGGGTATCGATACTTATTTGGGTGCCTCTTCCTGGCGGTGCACCGCTGCCCGCATTGGAGAGGGGAGAGGGCTGGCTGGGTCCACCTCGGTCGCTGGCCAGTGCGCCCGAGGGTGGAGTCCCCGTCACGGGGGCGTTGCCGTTGCCTTCTCTGGGGCTGCCTCGGCTGTTCGTCGTCTCGCCCCGCGCGGTGAGACAGCCTTCGCTGCCTCTTTCCTGGCGCGCCTCGCCACGGCGGCGCCTTTAGGTCCAGCTCTTTCGTGTCCTCTTGGGCCGAGCCGCACGAGACGCGTTCGTACGGTGCGCGTGTACCCTACCTTTTTGAGCCGCTGCTGGTACATCTACAGCCACTGCGCTGAAACTGGAACCCCTTTGAGCTCAGGCGGGGCTCCAGTTGCCCGGCCGCTCCTGCAGTCTACTCTGGCGTACCTACTCGAAGCCGACGCTCGCCGGGTCCAGACATGGGCGCCTTTCGCTCCTTAATTCAGCACCCCTGGTAGTAGCGCAATCATTGTACTCCACCTTAGCTTTCTCCCTTGCCTCCGCATCCTCCTTCACATCTGCACCGTTATCCTCCTGCTTCTGCTCCGCCGCCTCCGCCCCGCCTCCTATGATAAACCCATGACGCTTCGCGTATCCCCACCAGCCCGTCCAGACACGATCGCCCGGTGAGTTGCCCTGATGACGACAGCGCAGGAGCATAACGTGTGACAGCCGCCGTGGATGCTTTCGGGGGATGCGGGAAGGGCGGGAACATTTGCGTTTGGAACTACGGTCGGACCGAGGTATAAAATCGAGGCCGCTTCGGGGAGGGCACCCTCATGTCCTTCGTGCTCGTTGAATGTTCTCGTGCGTCCTGGGGGGGGATAGTTGAATGTCTCGTGCGTCCTTCGTGCTCGTGGAATGTTCTCGTGCGGCCTGGGGGGGATCCCCTCGAATGTTCTTCAGTTTTGGTAGGCCCGCGGCGCGCTCTGTCTTGGCCGCCAGGGCGTGAGCGCTCGTCCTGCTCCCGCTTCGCGCCGGGGGCACTAGAGGCAGCCGACGAATTGGCCCATGTTGGAAGACAAGGGCTCCCACGAGGGCGCGAAGTTATTAGTGCTTCGCGCTTCGCGGTCCTCGTTCCTTCTCCCCCTCGTCCTCGTCCTCCTTTTCTCCTTTTGGGGGGGCGGCGAGAGAGCGCGAAGTTATTCGCGCTTCGCGGAGCGTGAAGCGCGAAGTTGGGAGCCCTAGGAATAACAAAGAACCAGGGAAGGGTTGGACTCGAGTGCGCCGGACCCCGGGCTTGCCGACGCCTTCTGACGAGCGCGGTCTGGATCTTGACGGTCCAGCTCGCGTGGGGTGCCTGCAGCGTGTAGTCTGCCAAACTTCAGACTGGGTCTCGTCACGTTCATGATTCAGGAGGGAAAGAAACACACAGACACAATTAATCGTCGATTCCCAGGAAAATATGGGAAAATATGGGAAGTGGGGGGGAAGACGAAGACCCAGGAAATATGGGAAAATATGGGAATCCTTTTCTTTGTGTGTATTTATTTCTGTGTCCCAGGGCCCCTTCAATGATGGCCTGTCAGGCCCAGCAGACTCCCCCAAACCCGAGTCTCGCGCCTCTGCCGGATCGGCGCTCGGCGCCAAGCCAAGGACTCTCTGCGCCTGGGCTTCCCTGGCGGCGCCTCTGGCGCCGCCCCTCAGCGCGCCAGGGAGGGGTGTAAAACGACGCGAAGATCGGGACAAAATCGGATCGGGATAACTCGAAATCTCTGAGAAGCGGCGGGTTTGGAGGATGTATTGGGCGCCGCGGCCGCTCCAGAGCGTTCTGGAACGCTCTGAGAGCGCTCCGGAACGCTCTGGAGCGATTTATCCCGATCCTAGCTTTGTTTTAGGGTGTGGCAGGTCCGTGTCGTGTCGACGCGGCGGTGACCTCAGCGCCCCAGGTTCGGCGTTCCCGGCGGCGTCAGGAGCCAGCGCAGAGAAGTCGCCTCGACACGAGCCTGCCGCACGAGAATGTGGCCGACGAAGTGGTCGAGGCGAGGAATCAGCACAGAGACGCCCGTTGGGAAAGCGATCGCACTCCACCAGGCGTCAGCGCAGTGGCGGCACATCTGCCTCAGAGAGGTCGCCGCCAGTGGCCAAGGCCGCCGTTCAGTCCGGGGTCACAACTTGTACAAGTCCATCTCGGGTTCTTGCGCTCGAGAGGCGCGGTTCCTGCGTACAGCGGGAGCCCATGCCAAGACGCACCCTGCTCGCCTCCAGGGTGCCCCGGGTTTCGTGGGCTTCGATGGCTTTGCGGTGGAAGGCGTGACGTTCCAACGCCAGCAACAATAAACGCCCCGGGGTCTCAGGGTTGGGCTTCCTGTGGAAGGTTTCTTGTGGACTGCCCTCCGCTGTACCCTTGAGTCGGGCCTGTCAATCTTCGGGGTGGAATATATTCAAAAATCGTAAAAGTATTGTCGGGGGACTATTTTTCGAGTATTTTTTGACCATCTGGGAGTATTTGTTGGCCTTTTTTATTTTTCGTCGAAGGGGGACACGCCCGACTTAACTGTACCCCGATCATGGAAGCCGAACAGAGCCCCTCCCCCTCGCCAGGTCCACCCCCGTGCCAGCCGGGGCCGTCGGCCTCGAGCCTTCGGCAAGCGGCCGTGCAAGGGCGGGCAGCCAGGCCACCGAGGAGGAGGAGAAGGAGGGGGAGGCGGAGGAGGAGGGAGGAGGCGGGGGAGGAGCAGAAGGAGGAAAACACCTACTACTGCGAAGGCGAATGCCAATGCCAGTACTCAAGGAGGAGACGCGAGGTGGATGGCCCCCGTGTGGGATCCAGGCCAGCTGCCCGCCACGACCCGAGGGGCGCGCCTGGGCACAATCCGGCGCGAGAGGACCTGTGCCCCCCCAGTGGCTTCCAGCCTGGCTCACGGCTCCGCTGGAGCCGCACGGCGCAGTGGAGCCAGCGGCCAAGCCCCGCGGGCCGCGGGCAGGAGCCTCCAGGATCGAACGCCTCCGAGCGGAGCCGAGCGGGGGCGGCCTCTGACAGAGCCGAGGGGCAGGGAGGAGGAGGAGGAGGAGGAGGAGGAGGAGGGAGGAGGAGGAGGAGGAGGAGGAGGAGGAGGAGGAGGAGGAGGAGGAGGAGGAGGAGGAGGAGGAGGAGGAGGAGGCGGAGGAGGAGGAGGAGGAGGAGGAGGAGGGAGGAGGAGGAGGAGGAGGAGGAGGAGGGGGAGGAGGAGGAGGAGGAGGAGGAGGAGGAGGAGGAGGAGGGGAGGCGGAGGAGGAGGAGGAGGAGGAGGAGGAGGGGGAGGGGGAGGGGGAGGGGGGGGGGGGGAAGGGGAGGAGGGAGGGGAGGAGGAGGAGGAGGAGGAGGAGGAGGAGGAGGAGGAGGAGGTTCTCCCCCTCCTCGTGCTACTTCCCTGTCAGAGAGTGGCGAACACGTCCTGCCGCTCGCGGGGCGAGATCCACACACGCGCGCGCGCATCCCGCGCCCCATTCTCGCGAGGGGGGAGAGCAACTGCAGCACGCCGAAGAGGGAGGAGGAGGAGAAGGAGGCGGAGGAGGAGGCGGAGGAGGATGTTTTCTTCGCCCTCCCTCCTCTCTGCAGCGGTAGGATATCCTCTGGCAGCTGATGCCGGTGCTGCTGAGCGCGGTCTGCTTCTTCGTGTTGTTGCTGTCCCTTCTCCGGAGGGGCCTGGGCGGCGTCATCGGCCTTTTGCTTGCTGTTCGCAGTTCTCCTTGATGAGGATGCGGAATGGGAAGGGGATGGAGGGAAGGAGGAGGATGGGGGAGGAGGAGGAGGAGGAGGAGGAGGAGGAGGAGGAGGAGGAGGAGGAGGAGGAGGAGGAGGAGGAGGAGGAGGCAGGAGGAGGCAGGAGGAATGGGAGAAGGGGAGAAGGGGAGAAGGGGGGATGAGGGAGGTGAGGATGAGGAACACGAGGTGGAGGAGGAGGAGGAGGAGGAGGAGGAGGAGGAGGAGGAGGAGGAGGAGGAGGAGGTCGCGGAGGAGTGGAGGCGGAGGAGGAGGAACACGAGGTGGAGGAGGAGGAGGAGGAGGAGGAGAAGCAGGAGGAGGAGGAGGGGTCCGTAGCCATTTTGGCTCAAGCCATTTTGGCTGAAGCCAGCTTGTTTCTAGCTCGCTAGCAATGGCGCGGGAAGTTCTGCGAGGCTCGGGGGATCGCGCCGTGCAGTCGGCCCTGATCAGTAGGCCGGCACTGCCAAATCGAGGGTACTCTCGTGTCCTGCGTCTCGCGACCCATTCCTTTGCATTCCTATGGCAACGTGGCCCTCGGAAGGGTGTTGCGTCCTCTCGCGTGTCCTCTCTGATTAGGTCTGACTGTATCGTCGATGCCTTGGCAATGCGGCTCGATGTTGAGCCGAAATTTATCCACGCCGACGTCGCCGATGCAGCGCCGACGTCGCCGACGTCGCCCGACCCCATCAACTTGGACCCCACTTGGGAAGCCTCTAGAGGATGGAAGCAGTCGAAAGCGCGTGGAATGCCCCTGGGGGGAGCTTGCAAGGACGCTTCGAGCTTCCAGGCTCGACGACAAAGGAGCCCCGAAGGATCTCCCAAGGAGCTTCGAAGGAGCTGTGGAAAGGCTTCCGGCACGCGTATTGGGAACGATCCCACACCGCCGTTTTGTTGCCGGATGAGTTGTAAGGACGCGACGCTGAAGGCGGCATGCGCTCACCGCCTGCCGCAAATGGAAGGGTGGGGAGAAGGAGAAGGAGTGAGGGAGGAGGCACAACGGTGGAGAGGTAAGGGGGGGAGGACAGGACGGGCAGGAGGAACGGGGACGGATGTCGAGGAAGCGCAAACATGGACCAGGGCGCGTGGATTGGCGTCAGGCCCTGTTCCCATGCAGAACGGGCTCGCGTTGTAGCCGGATCATGCGGCATATGCCTTATGTTTGGGGGGGGGGTTGTTCTTGACCCGTGGATTTCGCGCCAACGCGCAATGTTACCCATGGATCCGTAATCCCTGGTAGTGTGCGCCAGTGGATGGGAAGAGGAGGAGAAGATGAGGAGGTGGAGGAAGAGGATGAGAAGCAGGAGGAGGAGGATGGGGAGGGGGAGGAGGAGGAGAAGAAGTGACGGAGGGGGAAGACGATAGAGAGGAGGGACCCGCTTGCTCCCTTCCCCTTGCCTCTTTCCGCGTGCCTGCGCTGCTGGATGCACTGTGCCTATGCGGTGCACCGTACTCTTACCTTGGTGACTCGACGAGGAAGAGGACGTTGTTGATGATGATTATGATGGTGGTGATGATGGTGATATGTTGCTGCTGGTAATGATGATGACGATGATGCTGATGATGGTGGTGGTGGTGATGGTGGTGTGATTGTGATGCTGGCGATGATACTGTTGCTGCTGCTGCTGTTGATGTTGACGATTGTGGTGGTGGTGGTGTTGATGCTGCTTGTGGTGGTTGTGGTCACGGTGACGAAGGTGATGCTGATGCTGATGATGTTCAGGCTGACGAAAATGCTGCTGCGGCTGATGATGATGCTGCTGATGATACTGCTGCTGCTGATGATGCTGATGATGGTGACGATGAGGATGCTGATGGTTATGATGATGACGATGATGATGCGGATGACGATGGGGATGATGATGATAACGATGCTGATGCTGATGTTGCTGTTGTTGTTGTCGTTGCTGCTGCTGCTGCTGCTATTGTTGTTATCATTGGTGATGATGGTGATGCTGATTATGATGCTGGTGGTGATGATTAGGCTTGTGATGATGATCTCAGTGAAGACTATGACACTGATAATGACTTCGATGATGCTGCTGTTGATGATGATGCTGAATATTATGCTGATTATGATGATGATGCTGCTTACATCCCCATCTTTCCTTCCTTCTCTCGTCGTCCTCGTCCATACCCCTCCGCCCTCTTCACTTCCTCACGCTGGCTGAACACATGTTTTCGGCACGCCGGGCCAGAGCCGCACGCCGGAGTCGAACCTCATCCAGCGAGGGGTCGCGGCCACGGCGCGCCCCGGCCCTCGTGGGCCAGGCCTCCGGGTGCGCCAGCTGCGCGTCCGTCACCCTTTCCCCCTGCCGGGCTCAGCGGCACGGACCCATCACCTCATCAATCAGGAGGGAAGGAAACACACAGACACAATTCATCGTCGACTCCCAGGAAAATATGGGAAAATATGGGAATTGGGGGGGAAGACAAAAACCCAGAACATATCTGGAAATATGGGGAATCCTTTTATTTGACATGAATTTATTTGTGTGTCCCAGGGCCCCTTCAATCAATTCTGCCCTTACGTGCCTGCCTGGATGACCCCGCACGTTGGCCTGCCGCCTCCAGGGACCCCGCGGCACCCGTCTCGCGACCTCGCCCCTGTGCGCCACCGTGCTCCGTGTCCTCTCCTGTGTCCTCCCTTCTCTCCTCACTTCCCCCTCCCCCCTCCTCCACCTCCTCCTCCTCCTCCTCCTCCTCCTGCTCCTTCTCCTTCTCCTCCTCCTTTCCCTCCTCCTCCTCCTCCTCCTCCTCCCCCTCCCCCTCCTCCTCCTTCCCTCCCTTGCTTCCTCCTCCTCTCCTTCTCCTCGTCTCTCCCCCCCTCCTCCGGTCCTCGGGCGGGCAGGCCCCTCCGAGAGATGGGGCTCTTCGCCGGCGTGAGCATGCTCCTCACCGCCCTGCTCTGCGTCCTGGTCTTCGTTCCCCTCCTCGTGGTGAACGAGCAGCTCGTGAGGACGGGCGCCCCCCCCCGCCTTCACTCGCTACTCGGTGACCCCGAGGCAGCAGCGGCTGGATGAGGAGGACAAGAACGAGGAGGAGGAGGAGGAGGAGGAGGAGGAGGAGGAGGAGGAGAGGGAGGAGGCGGAGAAGGCGGAGGAGGAGGATGAGGAGGAGGACCAGTGGAAACCCAAGAGTCATCAACGATGTTGGAATGATTCTTCCCTCCAAGCTCCCTCTCCATAGGCCCCTGCAACGGTTCATTTCCATTGAGGGAACTGCCTCGTTGGAAGACAACAGTGTGAAGATCCTGAACCGTGCCAAAACATTGATCTCGGGATGTTAACGCCACGTATCAACCTCACTGCTGCGTCTTGACGATTCAGAACCGTGCCAGAACGCCACTGTTGGGACTTCAGCACAGCGAATCAAATAACTGTTGCGCCCGCGTAGTCCTGATACGCTGATCATGGGGATCCGACATACTCTTTCACATCTTTAAGACGACTGTGCGCGGCGCTTAGGCGAGAGCCACATTTTCAAAACCACCCACCCTCAATCCGTGAAGATCGTGCAACTTCTTAAAACGAATGTGCGCGGCACTAAGGCGAGAGACACACTTTGAATACCACCCGCCCTCAATCCGTGAAGCTCTTGCAACTTTTTAACGCGAATGTGTGCTGCGCTGAGGCGAGAGCCACGTTTTGAACACCACCCGCCCTCAATCCGTGAAGCTTTTGCATCTTTTTAAAACGAGTGTGTGCGGCGCTAAGTCGAGAACCACATTTTGCACACCACCCGCCCTCAATCCGTGACGCTCCTGCAACTTCTTAAAACGAATGTGCGCGGCGCTAAGGCGAGAGCCACATTTTGAAAACCAGCCGCCCTCCATATGTGAAACTGTTGTCATTTCTCAAGCTTCAGAGTCATACATGATGGGGAAGTCCCAGGAGAAACGCCCAGGCCGCATTAAGAACTGGCCTCGAGGTGCGACAGGGAGGAGTTATCTAGAAGGAGAAGGAATAAGGGGGGAGGGGGAGGAGGAGGAGGAGGAGGAGGAGGAGGAGGAGGAAAAGTAGGAGAAGGAGGAGGATGAGAAGGATGGTGATGATGATGAAGATGAGGATGAGGATGAGGAGGAGGAGGAGGAGGGGCACGATGTGGAGGAGGAGGAGGAGGAGGAAAACGAGGTGGAGGAGGACGAGGAGGAGGAGGAGAAGAGGAGGAGGAGGAGGAGGAGCAGGAATGCATACGTTGAAGAGGGGGAGGAGGAGCAGGAGAGATGGCCCCAAGACACCCTCCGAAGCAGTCCAAATCGTTACCCGGTCGTTCAGGGGTACCGTGGTTGGAGGCAGGGTGGCCCGAGGAAGCTCCCAGAGGCCCCCAGAATACGCCCAGGAGGCCTCCAGAAGGCCTTAAGAAAGCCTGAAACAACTTTTGTGAGGCCTGCAGAGGCTCTCCAAGGAGGAGTCTCCGCAAAAAAGAGCTGAGGAGGATGGGGAGAATGCGCAGGGTATGGCGAAAATGAGAAACAAGAAGCATGGAGGAAGGATAGCGAGTAACATGACTGTAGCGACGATGCCGGAGAAGGCAACAAGGAGTTATCGCTAAATTGCCGTCCTGGCCTTCCTGCTATCCCGCCTGCGTGCCACACTTCAAGCGCCACTGCAGTCTTATATATATATGTATATATATATATATATATATATGTATATGTAAGGGTATACCACCGTGTGCACTCCACAGGCCCATTTCGGGCCCGACCTTTCGGGCGAAGAGAACTATGCACATGCACCGATCCTGGCAGGGCCCATCCTTGACCCAGGCTCGGTGCACCTGCCTCCCTGGCCAGGGCAGGAAGGCGTATGCACCGATCCTGGGCTCAGGATGGGCCTGGCCAGGATCGGTGTACCCAGACCCCCGCGAGTAATGAACAAATCACGACGGGAGGTTTCTCTTATTTTTTTTTCGGCCTCCGGTGGCCCTCGCCGGGCCTCGGGAGCGTCAAGAAACGACGCAGGATGCAGAGCCGGTCATGGGGCAAGGGTTGGGACCTCTGGGGGTCGACGTGATGAACAAGCCATTACGTCGGGGGTCTGGGTATGTGCATCGCTCATTTTTTGAATATTTGTTGACGTTTTATTTTTTTATTTATCTTTTTATTTATATATATACATATATATATATAAAACCAAAAATATATTCATATTTTTCGTCGAACATTCCCCTGAAGGGGGCACGCCCGACTTAAGCCTAACCTTGGTGCGCGTATGTGGCCTCGCGGCGCGGCTGGCGCGGGAGCAGCCCGCGCGGGCCGACGTCGGCACGGGCGGGCTCGGAGGGAGAGTGCGCGTCGCGGGGCTCGCCCTGCGCCTCTCCACCCCCCCTTCGCGGGGCCCTGGGGCCTCCAGGGGCCTCCTCCTCCTCCCTCTCCAGGCCTTCCCCCCCCCCCCCTCCCTCCTCCTCCTCCTCCTCCTCCTCCTCCTCCTCTCCCCTCCTGCCTCCTCCTCCGCCCCTCCTCCTCCCTTTTCTCTCTTTTCTCCAGTTCTCCCTCCTGCCCCCTCCTCTCTTCTTCTCCTCGTCCCTCCTCTCTGCTCTCCCTCCTCTTTCTGCTCGGGCTCGTCCTCCTTTTCTTTCCTTCTCTATCTCCACATGTCCACGTGTCTCTTCCCTCTTCCCTCCTTTCTCCTCGCGTCCTCCCTTCTCTCCTCCCTCCTCACTCCCGCCCCCGCTCTGCCTCCCCTCCCTTCCCCTTCCCCTTTGGCCCCCGGCCCTCCGGACCCGTCCCGGGGCGGGGCCCGGCATTCGCTCGGACTCATCTCCGGCCGTGGCGATGCGGGAGCCTCAGACGGCCAACGAAAGGCAGAAAGCGCCCAGGCACGCGCACACGCCGGTCGTTGAAAGTAGGCATTTCTGGATTCCCTGATCCCAATCTACCTTGTGACCACGAATCCTTAAACAGCAACCAGCCATGTTGATCAATACGGGATAGACAACAAGTAGGAACAAGTAGTTTTCCAATATAGCAACAAGTAGAACAATAGAAGGTTTAAGTCGGACAAAGTAGTTTCAAAGTAGTGTCAAGTAGGAAACCGTTTTCCCAACGTAGACATGGCATTTCAATGCCAATGTGCGGGTTGATCAGGACGCGCGCTGCAAATGTGTCGCATTGCAACCATCAGTGCCGCGGCCATCCTGGGCGCGTTGCGCTGCGCCGCATTGCTTGAGGTTCGCAGGCGCGGGGCCGCGCTGCGCGAAACAAGCGCGCAATGTCGGGGGCCATAAATGCAGGGTCGCAGCGCCGGCGTCTTCTTGTAGTGTACAGGGCGGCCCGCGGACTCCATGGCGCGCGGCGCTTTCTGCCGGTTGCAGCTTCTTTGTCGGGGCCGAGCAAGTGGCGGGGCCCCGCCCGCCAGGCCAGCGCGCAGTTAAGATGGGTGAGTCTGGGCCCTTCGCGGGGGCGGAAAAATTATTTCGCTGGTTTAGAAAGCAATTTCGGGGCGCCCCCCGGGCCCGCCAGGGGGCCGCCGGGGCCCTCCGGGGGGGGGGGCGCTGCGACCCGCCCGCGGGCCCGCCGGCGGCCGGCTGGGTGGACCTCCGGCGGGCCCGGGGTCTGCGAGAGGTGGCGCGGCCGGCCCAGATTTGCGCGCGCTGGCGCGGCCCGGGTCCGGATTTGCAAAGCGCGCGCTGGCGCGGCCGGGGCCAAATTTGCACGCGCCGGCGCGGCCGGGCCTGGACATGCAAAACGCGCCGGCTCGGCCAGGCCCGGATTTGCAACGCGCGACGGCGCGGCCCCGCTTGACATAATTAATAGTGCGCGCCAGCGCGGCCGGCCCAGGTTCGTGAGGCGAGCTGGCGCCGCCTGGCCCGGAACTCCCGCGCGCGGCGCCCCCGGGCGCCAGCGGGCCGCCGGATCGAGGGTTCAAAAATATTAAAGCTTCTTTAAAGCTACTTCAAAGCTATCTCCCGGGGCGCCCGCGGGCCCTCTGAGGGGGGGGAAGGCTGAAACAACGACTTCCCGGAGCTAAGCGAGCTGCCGTGAACATATTTTCCTATCTATTGCTGTTTTTTCTTATTTATTTCGAGCGGTGCCGATCTATGTAGATCCGCCTATCTACATAGAGCTGCTAAATGGCGCCTTCTTTAAGAACCGATCTATTTAGATAGGCTCATGTGTAATCAAAAACCCTATCTATTCAGATCGGTCGATTTTCCAAGAGGCCCAACACGGGTGTCAGAAAAAGGCCGAACTGGTGTTTTGAGAAATCTTGTTTTTTTTGCCGATTCACGAGGCTCAACATCGTCTACATGAGGCAGCGGCCACGGGCTCCTCGTATACATGAGGCAGCGGCCAGGTGCTCCTTGTCTAAGGAGCTCCTAGGCGCGAGGGAGGGGGGGAGGGGGGGTATTTCGCCGTGGCTGTTTGCGGATCCGATGCGCATTTAGGCTCGAAGCTAAGCGTTCGCGCGCCGCGCAGTGCCGAAACGCCGAACCAGAAAGCGTTCACCATACTACTTTCCTTTCTCCTCTGACCCGGTCCGAAAGGTCTCCTGTCATCCTTTGCGTCGTTTCTTCCTGCGCACAAGAATTCTGCCGAGTTGGTTCCTTCTGTTCGTTTTTACGATATTTGTTTGTTTTGGGTGCTTGTGTTGGGTGTTTTAGACAGTATTTTCCCGCGGCACCGTGGGCCTCATTTCCGGATCGGCATTGTGCTCCCGTCGTTCAGAACGGCGCTCTCGTCCAAGCGCGGGCCATTTTTCCTCGTATGAGTCATGTTTCATCAATGTCGCCACCTCTGTCCCCCTCCTCCGCATTCCCCTGGTCCTCCTGCATCCCACCCCTTCCACTCCAGCTTCTGGTGCTGCTGTTCATCTCAGTCCTCCCCCTTCCTCGTTCTCCTCCTCCTCCTCCTCCTCCTCCTCCTCCTCCTCCTCCTCCTCCCCTTGCTGTCGCACCTTCTGCTCGCCCGCGACATCCTCGTGCCTCTCCCATGCACGCAGCTTCCAGTGTCAGAGTCCGCACAATACGGCAGCGCTCTTTTTTTTGTGGAGATCCTCGTGGGGCTATGACCTGCGTCCGCGGACACAGAACAATAAGCAACGACATGAGAAGCAGGGGTGGACCTAAACGGTGTTCTGGCGACCTCGTGGGCCGTCCTCGCTTCGAACAGAAGACACATCGAAGGACAACGGAACCAACACGAAAACGAAAACCACTGTTTAGGTCCAGCCCCGATCAAAAGGGATGGAAGGGACAGATGGGATGTCAGATGTCGCGGGAGCGCACCCGGCTTGCCCTCCATCCCCTCTCCCTTTCCCGTTCCTCCGTCCCTTCTCTGGCCCTCCCTCCTCCTCTTCTCCTCTGCCTCTCCCTCCTCCCGTGGCAGGCCAGCGATCCAGCGCGGCCTGCCCCAGAGGGTCCAGCTTGTCCTGGAGCCCCCGACCGACCGTATCGCCTGGAAGCTCGTCGCCCGCGGCTGCGTCGAGGCTTCGGCGGGCCAGTGGCTGTCGTCATCGCCGCCTCCGCCGGCTCAGATGAGGAAAAGGTATCGCTGCCGCTACCTTTAGTGGGCCCTGGTAGCGACAGGGCCGTTTTTGTTACCGGTTCCGTTTTGCCGTTTTTTTGTCGGTTCCGACGCCGTTTGTTTACCTGCTCCGTCGCCGTTGTTTTACCAGTTCTGGCTCCAATTCCAATCCTGGAGCCGTTTTTGTTGCCGTTGTTTGTCGCCGTTTTTTGTTGTTGTTTTGTTTTGCCGCTTCCATTTTCAAAAGGTACTTTTTTTCGGAAGCGGTAAAACAAAAACGGCTCTGCCGCTTCCGTGGCCCATTAAGGCCGCTACCTTTGCCTCGTTTTTGCCCCTCTGAGCCTCCCGTGGCGGCCCTCGTGGCCACGCGTGGATGCTCTTCGACATCGTACTGATGTGTCGCTTGCTTTCCTCATCTTTTTCGCCTCTGCCGTCGCCGTCGTCGTCTCTGCCGCCGCCGTCCGCCCCAGAGGTCCCAACTCACAGCGGGCCTCAGAACGGCCCCAGAGGGCCCCAAGACTTGCCAGGAGGCCTCCGAGATCGCCCCAAGATGCCGCCGAGGCGGCCCCATGGACCTCCAGTACGGCCCTGAAGCGTCCCTTCGTTGTCGCCGACGTCGCCATGTCTGCCGCCGCCTCTGCCGCCACCGTCGCCGTCGCTCTCGCAGGCGTCGCCGTGTCTGCGGCCGCCTCTGCCGCCGCCGTCGGCCCCAGAGGCCCCAACCCCAAGAGGGCCCAACACGGGCCAAGAGGGGCGCCGGACGGGGCTGGGACGAGGCGCCCGAGACATCCTCCAGAGCCGCCGGATCTCAGAGGTTCGTCTTGGCTTCGTCTTAGGGCTTAAGACGGCCTAGGAGGTCCCCAAGACAGCGCCGAGAGGGGGCCCCGAGGCGGCCCCAGAGACCTGCAAGACGGCCCTGAAGCGTCCCGTCGCTGTCCCAAGCTGTCGTCGTGTCTGCCGCCGCCGTCGGCCCCAGAGGCCCCAACCTTGAGAGGACCCCCAAACGGGCAAAGAGGGCCCTCCTCGACGGCCCAAGAGACCCCCGAGATGCCCGTCGCCGTCGCAGCCGTCCAGTAGTCGACGCGCTGCCGTCGCCGCAGCCGTCGCTGTCGCCGTCGTCGTCGTGGACTTTAAGTGTCGTGATGTGCGTTGTATCTTCGACGTCGGGGGGGAAGGGACGGGAAGGAAGGAGGTGGGAAGAGGAGGGCTCGCCATCGTCGCCGACCACGACGTTGTCGTTATCGTCGTCGTCATCGCTGCATATCGCAGACCAGGAAATGGGGACTGGGGCCTCTAGGGGCGCCAGACATCCGCGGCTGGAGTCGCCCCGAACTTTAGTTATGAAAGAGCGCGTTCTGTGGGGGTTGGAACCGGACCTGCAGCCCCCCCCCCGGATAGATGGAGGGGGGGTTCGAACCTCCTCTTCCCCCCCCTCCCCCCCCTGCTTCTCCTCTCCTAGGGCCGGCGCTTGCATCGGCGGCGGCTGGCGGCGGCTACGTGGACGACAATTTCGTTTTCTGGGCCGGCGCTGGCGCCTGCGGCGGGGGGCGGCGGCGGCGGGGAGCGTCGACGAGGACGACGGTGGTGGTGGTGGTAGCGGTGGTGGGTTGTGGTGGTGGTGGTGGCGTTTCTGGTGGTTGTGGTGGTGGTGGTGTGGTGGTTTGTTGTGGTGGTGGTGGTTGAGGTGGTGGTGGGTAGTGGTGGTGCCGCCAGCGCCGGCGCAGGCGCCAGGGGGGGGGCCACTTTGGGCTGCCTCTGGTCATCGTCGCTGCGTCGCCGCCGTCGGCGGTGCTGGCGGCCGCCAGCGCTGGCGCCGGCGCCGGCGCCCGAGGGGGGGGTGGGGGGGTGGGGGGGGGTTTTGAAGCCCCCCCCCCCTGGAAGGGGAGGGGGTTGGTTCGGGAGAGGGGTGGGGGTTTGGGGGGGGGTGGGGAGTCCCCTTGGTTTTGATCGACGGCGCCGAGTGTTGGGGGGGGGCTCGTCCCCCGGTTCGAAACGCGCCGCCGAATGTTCCCAAGGCAAGCGTCCGTGAAACGCGTTCTCTCATAGTTTTGAACCCGCCCTGGAAGAAATACCCTGGGGCCGGTTGGCGTTGTCGTCGTGCCCTCGTCGGCCGTTGATTTCGCCGTTGTTTGGACATTTGGGGATCTTTTGGGGCTTCTGGGCACATCCACGTCGCCACGGCTGTGTCGCCTCGAAATCACGGTCAGGACGCGCCCCCGGAAGAGGTCCTGGGGCAGCTTCTGAGGAGGGAGGCGCCTCGTCATCGCCGTGGTCATCGTCGTCGTCGTCGTCGTCGTCGTCGTCGTCGCAAACGTCGTCGGCGTCGCCATCGCCGTCGTTGTCGTCCTCGACGTTGTCGGCCTCCTTCCTGCTCCCCCTCCCTTCCCCTTTTCCTCCGCTGTCGAAGTTGCCAGCTGCCTCGCCCTCCTTCCATTCGATTTTCCTCCTTATCTTCCTTCTCCTTCTCTTTCTTCTCTTCTTCCCCCTCCTCCCTCTTCTCTTCGTCCCTAGAGATGGGAGTGCGGCGGAATGGGAGGAGGTGGGGTGGAGGAGCCTCCCCTCCTACTCCCACTCCCCCTCCCTTTGTCGTCGCCCTCGCCTCGTCGTAGTCACCCTCGCCTCGACGCCTCCTCGCCGTCGCCGTCGTCGGCGTTGTCGACCTCGTCGTCGTCGCCGCCGTCATTGTCGCCATCTCCATCGCCGTGATGGTCGCTGCCGCAGCCGCGGTACCCGCTGCCGTCGCCGTCGCCGTCGCCTTTGTCGCCTTTGTCGTCGTCGTCGTCGTCGTCGTCGTCGTCGCCGTCGCCATCGCCGTCGCCGTCGCCGTCGGTCGTCGGCGTCGTCGACGTCGGCCACCGACTGCAGGCGGCCAGCCGCGGGAAGTGGCCGCTCGTCGCCGCGGCCGCGGTTGTGGCGGCCCCGTCCTCGGGCGGCGCGGCGGCAGCGTCGGCGTCGGCGTCGGCGTCGTCGCAGGGTCCGTGGCGATCCGTTCGATGCGATTCGGTGCAGCAGTGTCGGGGAACCGTTGCCCACGTTTTTTGAGGAGCGCGCCTTGGATTTTGACGGTCCAGTTGTCGTGGGCTGTCTGCAGCGGGAGCTCGCGTCGAAATTCACAGTGGGTCTCGTCATTTTTAGGATGCCCCCGTCAGGCCAACCCGGGTCCCCCGTGCCCGAGTCTTGCGTCTCCCCGACGGTGGGGGCCCATGTCAAGAAGCGCCCTGCTTGCCTCCAGGGTGCCCTGGGTCTCTTGGGTCTTGATGGTGTTGCCATGGGAAGAGCAAGGGCGCCCTCGTGTGCGTGAAGTTATTCGCGCTTCGCAGTTCGGCTCCGATTCCTCCTCATCCTCCTCTTCGCCCCTGGGAGGCGGCGCGAGAGCGCGACGTTATTCGCACTTCGCGCTTCGCGCAGTGCGAAGCGCGAAAGTTGGGAGCCCTTGAAGAGAGTGGCGTTCCCATATCAAAAACCAACGGACGTCCTGGGGTCTCAGGGCTGGGTTTTTCGTGAAAGGTTTCCTGTGGCCTGGCCTCCGCTGCACGAGTCGAGATCGCTCTCGGCCAGGCCGATGGATGCTATCCGTGTCGGCAGTGTCGGCAGTTTTCGGGCGTTTTCTCAGAGCGTGAATTACCTACCCCGCTTTCGCTTCCAGGCAAAACCAAGTCATGCCACGCCTCCCCGTCAAGCGGCCTGACCAGTACGGGCCGCAGCTTGGCATCGCCTGGTACCTCTTGGAAGCGAGGGTGGTCAGAAGCGAGGCAGGTTTGTCTGCCCCCTCCTATTTCCGTCGGCTCTTGGCGGTCTTCCGAGGGGGAGGGGGAGGGGGAGGGGGAGGGGGAGGGGGGAGGAGGAGGAGGAGGAGGAGGGAGGAGGAGGAAGAGGAGGGGAGAAGAAGGAGGAGGAGGAGGAGGAGGAGGAGGAGGAGGAGGAGGAGGAAAACGAGGAGGAGAACGAGGAGGAGGAGGAGGAGGAGTAGGAAAAGGAGGAGGAGGAATAAGTGCCCCGAATTTCGTGCCCGCCGACCAGGTGGCGACGTCGACGTCTCCGCAGAGGGTCCATTTTTTCCGATCCGAGCGATCCGCTTCGATCGACCGCTGCTGGCCGGCCCGGTGGGGTTCGACCTTCAAGGTGCCGGCGGTCCGAGGCGTGCGCTCGCTGCCCGCAGGGCGCCGGTCCCGCCTCCCGGCGCAGCTGGTCCGAGTCGCTCTCGGCGCCGTGCACGGGTGCAGAGCGGTGCGACGTGTGCGCGTTTCTCGGGTCGGGGGCGGAAAAGAGGGGGGTGATGACTAGGAGGGGGGTGGATATCATGGCGGGGGGCATGATATCTCCTCAGATTTCATGGCGCCCCTTCTTGTTTCATTACGTCCCCGGCCCCCCCGCTGGGCCGCGCACATGCCGCCGGTCATGATTTGCACCCCCCCTTTTGGACACCCCCCTCTTGGCCGCTCCCGACGTGCACGGGTGCAGAGCGGGGCGACGTGTGCGCGTTTCTCGGGAGGGGGAAAAGAAGCAAAAACATTAATCGTTGATCCCGAGGAAAGTATAGGGAGATATGGGGAATGGGGGGAAGACGACGACCCAGAAAGTGTGGAAAAAATAGTAGGGGGATCCTGTCATTTGTGTGTATTTATGTGTGTGTGTGTGTGTGTGTGAGTCCCTGGGCCCCCTTGAGTTTCCGATTTTTCGATTCGGCTCTGACCGATCCAACAGTCGAGTTTGATTAGTAGTAGGTCGACCCTGCCCAAACAAGGGTACCCTCGTGTTCTGTGTTTCGCGACCCATGCCCTCCACGTTCCACAGGCATTTGTGGCCATCGGAAGGGTCTTGTGTCCTCTCGCGTGTCCTCTCCAATCCACCCCGACCGTACGCCTTCGGAATGTTTCTGGGCGCTTCGCGCTGGTCGTGACCCGTGCCGCGGAACGCCACGAGCACCTCTGTGCTGTGCTGGCATGCAGCAGCTCAAGGCCGAGTTTCCGCCCCGCAGCGTATACCTCATTCGGCGGCGAGCCCAGGGGGGGACGTGAGAGGGGGCAGGCTCTCTCGGGAGGCGGCGGGGCGTCTCGGAGGACCCTGCGCCCTCCGAGAAGCCCTGCCGCCTGCTGAGACGGCCTGCCCCCCCACCCTTCGATGGCGTGCGGCTGCTCGCTCCCGCGGCACACCGCGATGTCGACGAAGGGGGGCCTCCAGGGCAGGAGGCTGCCGCCGTCACACTGGGCCATCTGTGGGCTCTTCGTCGTCAGCTCCGATTCGGAGGTTTCTGTGTTTGGGTTGTCGCCGCAACGTGAGGGATCATTTCCTGCCGTCGGTGAGCTCGTTGTGGAGATACGCGTTGACGTTGACGTCTCTGTAGGTTCCTGGGCGTTTCTGGAGGCTGTCGCCGCCACGGAGGGCTTTTGCCTTCGGTTGGCTCGTTGTAGATCTCCACGTTGACGTCGACGTCCCTGGAAGTTTCTGGCCGACTCTGGAGGCTGTCGCCGCCACGGAGGGCACATTGATTCAAGAGGCTTTCGCCATTCCGCCGACCCTCAGAAGAGGTAAGGAGTCGGTTCGCCATTCATTCGAGCCTGATTGAAGCTCTTGTTGGCAGTCCAGTAGCCTTCAGCTCTTCCCGCCAACGTGCATGGCTTGTGGGTCGCAGGCTTCTTGGGCGCCAGCAGGGGTCTATTGGGGAGCCTCTCGGGAGCTTCTTGGAGGCAGTTCTGAGGCCTTTTGGGAACCGTTTGGGGGCCTCTTATGGGCCTCTTTGGGACCTCTTGGGTTTTCTTGGTGGTCTCTTGGGCGCCTGCTGGCGGTCTCGGGTCTTCCTTGGGGCGGGGGACACGAACTTTTAGTTCGACTTCACCTCCGGGGCCCCTCTCTTGGCCTTCTTGGAGCCGTCTTGGGCCGTCTGGGGCGCTTCTTGGATCGTCTCGGGGCCCTCTTGGGCCGTCTTGGGCCCCTTTGGGGGGCCTCTTGGGCCGTTTTGGTGCGATCTTGGGGTCGTCTTGTGCCGTTTTGGACACTGTCTAAACCAATCCAAAGTGTTCATCTGCTAAACATCGGCGTTTTGCAAGGGAAGTGGCCTCTTGGGGCCTTCTTGGTGGTCCTTTTGGAGCTCTCTGGGGGGGGTCCTGGAGGCTTCTTGGGCTGTCTTGAGACTTCTTGGCTCCGAAGGCCCTGGGGGTGTGCCCAAGAGCCTAGAGACCCGCTCCCTCTCTACAAATACTCCATATGAATACTACTCTCCCTCTTCCCCTGATGACGGCTTGAAAGTATTAGCCCCCCCGCGTACTGTTTTTTAACACAGGATTCCCCGGCGTTGGGTTTTCGCTTGCATTTTTTCCCAAAATGCTGCTCTCGCTGAGGCGCCAGCCTCATTTTCGGGCCCCGCTCGTTCCGAATCGTGCTCCCGCTGCAGCGCTGGCCTCATTTCCGTGCTTCCGCTCGTTCCGAATCGTGCTCCCGCTGCAGCACTGGTCTCATTTCCGCGCTTCCGCTCGTTCCGACTCGTGTCCCGCTGCAGCGCTGGCGTCATTTCCCGTGCCATGCCACGGCATGCAATGCAATGCTACGTTGATGCTACGCTTTGCGGTGCTCTTCTACGCCATGCCATGCCGTGCTCTACAATGCATCGCGTACCCTTTCGGGATCATTGCCCTGTTCGACATCCGACTGTGCGAGTAGAGAGGGGATCTACGCCATGGTAAGGGATGGGAGGGAGGGGTAGGATGTCAGATATGACGCGAGCGTACCTAGCTTGTCGAACCCCCTCGCCCCCCCCCCCCCTCCAATCAGATGTTGGGCCCTGGGGGAGGGGGAACGGGGAGGGGGGACATCCATATGTTTCACACGCCCTGTCCCCCCCCGGAAGAGGGGGTCGGCGGACTTATGCCTTCGGGGGGCTCGTTGTGGATGCCCACGTTGATGTCGACGTCTCTCGAGGTCTCTGGGCGTTTCTTGAGGTTGTCGCCACCACGGAGGCCCGATTGTTTGATGCCTTCGATGGGCTCGTTGTGGACGTACACGTTGACGTCCCCGTCTCTGTAGGTTTCTGGGTGGTCCTGTCGTCGCCACGGGTGGCAACATGTTTTGTGCTTTTGGTGGGCTCGTTGTCGACGTCGGCATTGACGTCGTCATTCTGAAAGTTCCTGGGCGTTTGTGAAGGTTCTCGCCGCCACGGGTAGACGCTTCCCGGAGAATTGACCAGGATGGATCCCAGTGGGGTTCCAGTGGCAGATCCTGAACGGACGATGTCTAGACGGTGACAACGACGACGACGGCAACGACTTCGACGATGAGGTCGACGACGACGACGGTGGCGTGGGCGGTGACGACGGCGGCGACGACGTGGGCGACGGCGATGGCAAGAACGACGACCTCGACGATGTCGGCGGCAAAAACGACGAGGCCTACTGCGACGACGGCGGCAACGGCGACGACAAGGTGCGACGAGGACCACGGCGACGCGTTGGACGACGACGGGGACGACAGCGACGACGGCAGCAAGGTCATGATGGGCATCGCCATCGGCGTTGCGTTTACCCGCCACGACGTCGGCCTCCCCGAGATCTTCTCGCCCGATCACCATCGGGCAGCGAGGCACCAGGGTCCTGAGGAGGAGGAGGAGTAGGAGGAGGAGGAGGATCGCACTCCACTGAGGGGAAATATATATATATATAGAGAGAGAGAGAGAGAGAGAGAGAGAGAGAGAGAGAGAGAGAGAGAAAAAGAGAGAGAGAGAGAGAGGGTCCGACAAGTCCAAAAAGCCCCCTGGGGGGGTGCCCATTGGAGGCAACTTTTCTGACACCCTGGCAGGAGGCCGAACCCATGGCATGGGCCATCGACAGGGCCCCCCCCCTAGGAAAACGCTCGTCTTCATCCTCTGCTGGCAGGTCGCTGGCCTGCTGCTTGACGCGAATCAAGAGGAAAAGAAACACACAGACACAATTAATCGTCGATTACCCAGAAAATATGGGAACATATGGGAAGTGGGGGGAAGACAGAACCCCAGAAAATATGTCAAAATATGGGGAATAGTTTTATCAGTGTGTATTTATTTGTGTGTCCTGGGGCTCCTTCAGCGAAGCTTGCTGCCGAGCTTTAGTCCTCGCCGTCCCTGGCAACCTGGTCGGGGCAAGAGGCAGGGGGGACGGAGCCGTGCCATCCTGTAACAGCCTCTATCCAGCCACGCGAAGCGAGGGGAACAGGCCATTCACACCTGAGCCATCGCAAGAAACATGGCCTCCTTGGATCATGAGCGGCGCACCCGCTCCTTCCACCCTGCACTCCGTGGAAGGATCCCAGGGTTTCCTTGCGAGGATTTGGCAGGGATCGGGAAGGATGCCCTGCGCAAACCTCTCCTGGAGCTCGACCGAACACTTGGACAGGCGGCCGGCGGCCGGCCGGAACCTCCGACGGGAGGTTGCCACGTCGCCAGGCCTCGCGAGCAGGGCAGGCGAAGTGCCTTGTGAAGAAGCGTGCTCCGCTCTTCGCAAAGAGCAAGCACTGAGATGGCAGCCGCTGGTCGTGCACATGCAAGCGGTATTGGCGCCAGTGAGTGCCCACGGCAAGGCCCCTCGGAGTGCGCTGCTCTCTGAATCCCCAGGTCCCCCCCCCCCGCCTCCACCTCGCCCGAGTCCTCGACTCTGATGAAGGAGCTCATCGAGCGGTCAGCAGATCTCTCCGCTCCAGGCTTGCCCTGGCCCGATCTTGGCAAGGGCGGCCTCGTCGGAGCTGCGACGCGCAACGAACCCTGCCCGCCTGGCGAGGAACCCGGGAGAATCCGAGAGGAGGTCCCGCTACTGACTCGATGCTTCCCTGAGCCTCCAGGGATCTGAAAACGTCAAACCGACCCTGGCACAGGTGAGAACGAGGGCGGTGATGGAAGCCTTGACCAAAGCCCAAGCTTCGGTTCTGCTGCCGTGGCAAGTCCCAAAGAAACCAGTGCCCGCAGGTCCGTGTCGGAGAGCCGACCGTCCTGCAAGATATGAGCGTACGTTTTCACGGCATCGGACGGCAGCTGCACCGGGGGATCTGCCGCCCAACCCCCGCGAGTGCACCTCGACGCCAACCCGAGAGGGCATCCCCTGGGCATGCGACCCTCAGCACGCGCAGCAGCCACACGCAAGATCTTAAGCTTGCCGTCTGGAAGCCCCTGGATGCCGGCCCCCCGGAGGGCCTTGGCGGAGACGCCAGCTCCACAGAGATGGTCGTCCTGGGCGCCCGCGTCCCGAAGGGCCAGGACCCTGGAAACCTTCCTTTGGGCATCAAAGAACCTCTCCCGCTGGGTACAGTGCCGGCTTGAATCCATGCTCCGCCTGCGGATCATGTATCAAAGATACAGGGATTTAACATAAAAATAGCAACAAGGATGAGTTCATGCATAGATTCAGTCACAAACCAATCATGCATTAAAAACCCAATATTTTCAAACATCCCATGTACTAAAACCTGCCCTGTAGTGACCCGCCGACGGCTGCCGTCTGCCGCGCCACCGCCGAGGCCGCGGGGTAGGCTGGGAGGCCGCAGTCCTCGAGAAGGGACCCTCCGCCCCCTCGAGGGAAGACGACGGGAGCCCCGCCTTGTTCCGGGCGGTGGGCTGCCCCTTGGCTGCCCATCGCGGAGGAGGAGGAGGAGGAGGAGGAGGAGGAGGAGGAGGAGGAGGAGGAGGAGGAGGAGGAGGAGGAGGAGGAGGAGGAGGATGGAGGAGGAAGGAGGAGGAGGAGGAGGAGGAGGAGGAGGAGGAGGAGGAGGAGGAGGAGGAGGAGGAGGAGGAGGAGGAGGAGGAGAGGAGGAGGAGGAGGAGGAGGAGGAGGAGGAGGAGGAGGAGGAGGAGAGGAGGAGGAGGAGGGAGGAGGAGGAGGAGGAGGAGGAGGAGGAGGAGGAGGAGGAGGAGGAGGAGGAGGAGGAGGAGGAGGGGGGGGGGAGGAGGAGGAGGAGGAGGAGGAGGAGGAGGAGGAGGAGGAGGAGGAGGAGGAGGAGGAGGAGGAGGAGGAGGAGGAGGAGGAGGAGGAGGAGGAGGAGGAGGAGGAGGAGGAGGAGGAGGAGGAGGAGGAGGAGGAGGAGGAGGAGGAGGAGGAGGAGGAGGAGGAGGAGGAGGAGGAGGAGGAGGAGGAGGAGGAGGAGGGAGGAGGAGGAGGAGGAGGAGGAGGAGGAGGAGGAGGAGGGGAGTGGTTGGACGAGGGAGAAGGGCGATGGGCAGTTCGCCAGAGACTTGGTGAAACGCAGTTCTCAGCTCGCGCCGAACTGCGGCCGCCCCGCCGATGGCCTGAGACGAGACGTCGTCGATGACGCTCTTGAGCCAGACCGTCCGGCACGTCGGGGCGACCTTGCGACGGCACCCAAGCAGGAGCAGGCGCGCGAGGGAGGTCGCGCTGGAGCAACCAGCGATCACGGTCCCGTTGGGGAACATCAGTCGGCTCCCAGTCCCCCGCCAGGACACCCTGCGCGGGGCCCGATGACAGGGCGCAGTAGGCCCTGAAGAGGGGCAAAGGGACATCGTCTTGGCGAGCGGCTCCCAGAAGCTCTCCGTGGCTGATGTGTTCATGGATCTTGCGAAGAACCAAGCAGAGAGTTCTGGTGACCAGGTCTGGCACGCTGCGCGCATACATACGCCGCCAAGGCGTTGTGCACCCACGTCACAGGCTGTGCGAAGCAAAATCCGTCGGGACGTTTTTTTTTTTTTTTTTTTTTTTTTTTTTTTTTTTTTTTTTTTTTTTTTTTTTTTTTTTTTTTTTTTTTTGTTTTTTTTTTCAATTTTTGGCCTCTGGGGTCCCTCTCCAGGCCTCTGGACAGTACAACAACGGCTCGGGATGAAACGACGGCCCTGGAGAAAGGGTGTGGACTTCCAGGGGCCTCGTCTTGAGCAAACCAGGATATCGCATGCCTGGTGAGGGAAGGAAGGACGAGGGGGTATCGGATGCGTCCTCACTGTGCTTCCTGGAAAGCCCGCGTCGCCACGGCTCACCTCGCCTCGACATCCTGGTCGGGCCCCAGCCCCAGACAGACATGCTGATGTTGCTGATGCTGCTGATGCTGATGATGAGGATGAGGATGAGGATGAGGATGATCATGACGATGAGGACGCTGCTGCTGATGCCGTTGCTGATGATGCTGATGATGCTGATGATGAGTACGAGTATGAGGATGAGGATGAGGATGATGCTGATGATGATGATGCTGATGATGATGATGATGATGCTAATGATGGTGATGGTGATGGTGATGCATACTGTGACGATGCTGACGACAACGACAACAACGACGACGACGCTGCTGCTGATGATGGTGCTGCTGCTGCTGCTGCTGATGATGATGATGATGCTGATGATGATGATGATGATCATCATGCTGAGGATGATGACGAATATGATGCTGATTGTAATGATGATGTTGGTGATCATGCTGATGACGGCGATGATGATGCTGATGATGATGGTGGTGGTGGTGATGATGATGACGACGCTGACGATGATGGTGCTGCTGATGAAGCTGATCATGATGATGATGCTGATGATTCTGATGGTCATGATGCCGATGATGATAATGATGATTCTGCTGATGATGATGATGATGATGATGATGATGATGATGATGATGAGGATGCTGATGATGATGATGATGATGATGATGATGATGATGATGATGATGATGATGGTGATGATGATTGTGACGATGCTGACGATGGTGATGACGACGATGATGACGACGACTATGATGAGGCTGATGACTGTGATGATGAATGATGCTGATGACAATGACGACGACACCGACGGTGATGATGATACTGATACTGATGATGCTGATGATGCGGCTGTTGTTGATGAGGATGATGACGGTGATAACGATGCTGCTGAGGAGGAGGGCCATGGGGCGGTTGAGGAGGATTGCGATGCTTGTGATAGTGATGGTGGTGATATGCTGCTGATTCTTAAGATGCTGATGATGCCGATGCGCATGCTGAGTATGATGCTGATGCTGCTGATGCTGGCGATGCTGCTGCCGATCATGAGGACGAGTATGACGATGGTGCTGCTGATGCTGATTCTGATGACGATGCTGATAATGCTGCTGCTGCTGATTCTGACGATGCTGATGATGACGATGACGATGCTGCTGATGATGACGATGATGATGTCAATGATGACGATGATGCTGATGCTGACGATGATGCTGATGATGCTGATACTGATGCTGCTGTTGTTGATGATGCTGCTGATGATAAGGTTGATGCATATGAAGATGCTGGTGATGACGATGATGATGCTGCTGATGATGATGATGATGATGATGATGATGATGATGATGATGATGAGTATGATGATGCCGATGGTGATGATGTTTCTGCCGTTTGTGAGGACGATGATGATTATCCTGCTGAGGATGATGGTGATGATGGTGATGATGTTGATGAGGCTGCTGCTGATGCTGATACTGATGATGAGAATGCTGATGATGATGTTAATGCTGATGCTGTTGGTGTTGGTGATGATTCTGATGATGGCGACGACGACGACGACGACGATGATGATGATGATGATGATGGTGATGCTGCTGATGATGATGATGATGATGATGATGCTGATGATTATGATGATGATGATGACGAAGAGGATGCTGATGATGATGATGCTGATGCGGATGCTGATTATGATGATGCTGCTGCTGATGATGATGATGATGCTGATGCTGATGCTGATGCTGATGATGGTGATGATGATGATGATGATGATGATGATGCTGATGATGAGGATGAGGATGAGGATGAGGATGAGGATGAGGATGAGGATGAGGATGAGGATGAGGATGAGGAGGAGGAGGAGGAGGAGGAGGAGGAGGGGGAGGAGGAGGAGGAGGAGGAGGAGGAGAAGGATTATGTTGACGAGGAGGAGGAGAAGGATGAGGATGAGGAGGGAGGAGGAGGAGGAGGAGGAGGAGGAGGAGGAGGAGGAGGAGGAGGACGAGGAGGAGGAGGAGGAGGACAGGAAGGGCATTCATAGGAGGAGGAAGAGGTGGAGGAGGAGAAGGAGGAGGAGGAGGAGGAGGAGGAGGAGGAGGAGGAGGAGGAGGAGGAGGAGGAGGACGGACAATGATGGAGGAGAGTTGATGAAGGGGGGAGGCAATGAGGTGGACGGTTTGGAGTAATTTTAGAGGCTGTCGTTTCTTGTTGCTTTCGAGCGGGGGGCTCCCCTTTTGTGGGGTCGATGTTTTTTTTGCGAGGGGGGGGCAGGTTTCTGAACTTGTTTTTGGAAGGCAAGAGGGCTTCTGGGGCGCTCCCCTCTGCCTTCCTGGGAGGCTCTCCCCCCCTCGCCGCTCTCGCACCCCTCCCTGCGCCCGACCCACTTCCGCTCGGAGCGGACCTTCTGCTCCGATATCCTCCGCCTGGACCGTTCGGCTCCTCTGGTGCTGAGGTGCTCAGTCAGACCCAGGGTCATTCGGGTGTTGCCAGAAGTGCCCCTGGCCCAAGGTGCCCCCAGGATTTCCAGGGAGGCCCCCACGACGTCCAGAGCACCCCTCGCGAGGCCCAGGGGGCCCAGGTTATGTGGGCTGCAGCCGCTGTGCCGTCTGCGCACTGCTCGTGCTTGCCTGCCTGGACCCCTCCCGTGTCCATCGCGGCCAGTGTTCCGAGCTGCGCCAAGCCGTGACCACGAGGATCCTCCGAGAGGCCCGAGAAGCGCGAGGTGCGCCACACCTGTGCAGGCCGGAGCGCGTCAATGCGCCGCCCCAAGGGTTCGGACCACTGCCCCTTGGCCAGCTTTTTCGCCACGGTTAAATCGGGCATGCCTTTCTACAGGAGGAATAGCTACCCTTGGTTATTTATGGGGTATTTTTTTCAGCTTTCTTCTTAAACCCGCCTGTGGGAGGACATGCCCGACCTAAGCCTGGTCCAGTTCTTCGCCACGGATCCATACCTCATGGTTCTGGGGCCCGATACCGGCCCCCAGAGGCCGAGATGGATCGAGGGCGACCAAGAGGGGGGTGATGACTAGGGGGGAGTGGATAACATGGCGTGGGTTCATGGCGCTTCTTCTTACTTCAATACGTGCCCGCCCCCCCCCCTGGGCCGCGCACATGCCGCTGGCCATGATTTTGCGCACCCCCCTATTGGACGCACCCCTCTTGGACACCCTCGAGTGGAGGAGACAATCCATGCCGTCGGAGATCTGGGTTTTGCGCCGCCAGAGGCGCGAGCTCGAGGGCAAGTTCAGC